CTGACCCCCCCAGCGCAGCTTTCATGTCTCTGGTTGGGGAGTTCCCGGGTCTCCCAGTCACCGGCCCTGGGGTGTGAGTGTCGGGGGCCAGGGACTGAAATCGCCCCAAGAACCAGGTCATGGTGACACTGGGACACGGAACCAGCCCCACGCACAGACGGGAGAATGAAATGTCCTGCAGTCACAACCTCCAACCCCACCTCTCTGGACTGGGGTCACGTTCCCCCCTCACAAGCTAAGTGGGTAGAGGCCTGACCACTTCCTGGGTGGGAGACCTGTTGTGATCAAATGAGCGGGGGGAGCACAGTAGGAGGTGCTGTCCCCTCCCTGGCAGTGCTGACCCCGATGCTCCAGCACGATACCAGGGGTCACGGGGCTCCCTGCACCTGCTTTCCCCTCACAACGGGGCCTCCCAGTGCCCATGTCACAGCCTGGGAGCTGGGGGCTGCAACCTTAGGGGACAAGTATCAGAGGGGTAGCCGTGTTAGTCTGAGTCTGTAAAAAGCAACAGAGGGTCCTGTGGCATCAGATGCAAGCCTTCTTCAGAAGTGAGGTTCTTACCCATGAAAGCTTATGCTCCCAGTACTTCTGTTAGTCTCAAAGGTGCCACAGGACCCTCTGTTGCAACCTTAGGGGAAGCTCTCAGAGATGCCCTCCCACGGGGGGTGAGTGCTGGTGCTGACGCCCAGCTCCCCGCAGTGGAGAACATGCTCTCTCAGGCGGAGTTCTACCAGCGGATGGACCAGTCCCAGCGGGAGACCGGGGAGTACATGTTCGAGTTCGACCAGGACGAGATCTTGCACGTGGACCTGGAGAGGAAGGAGACCGTCTGGCGCCTGCCCAACTTCAGCAAGTTCACCAGCTACGAGGCGCAGGGCGCCCTGGGCAACGCAGCTGTGGGCAAGGCAAACCTGGAGAGTCTTATCAAAAGCTTCAACCACACACGGGCCCAGAATGGTACAGCAGGGCAGGGGGGGCACCTTCCCTGACAGACACCTTTACTGGGGCCCTCCCCCAACCTTGCTCACCAGGGGACCCTCCCCTCCCCACGTGAGCCCAGTACCAGGCACCTGAAAGACTGCGCATCCCCACTCAGCTCCCCCCACAGCCCCTGGAGGGCTCCGGGGAGCCAGTCAGCCGGGCCAGGGCTCTGCAGGGCAGGGGGCCTGGGCAGTTCACACCACCCAGGCTGGGGGCCCGGCAGCTCCTTTACCAAGGGCTGTCGTGGCCCCTG